CCCAGATGTCTCCTCTACAACCAGAATCTGCTGTCCAGCTGTCAACTTGACATGTCCATTAGCACACCAATAGGCATCTCCAACTTCATTCTTTCTAAGACCTGTTCCTCCTGCAGACTTCTCATCTAGGTACCACCATCCACCTGGGGGTTTAAGCACAAAGCCATGTCATCTCCTTGACTCCTTACTTTCCCTCACTATTTACCTCCAACCTAGAAGTAAGTTCATTGGTTCTTCCTCCAAGATATATACTACCTTAGAGGAAGGGAGGGAATTCAGGGGACTTGCCCAGGCCTGGGATTTGACGCTCCCCCTTAAGAATTGATGTAAAACCTTGAGTCCGTGGGATCATGCACAATTCAGACCATTTTGGAACTTTTTACTTCCTCAGTCCCAGGTACATTAATTAGCATGAGTCACTCTCCCCTTGATTATTTTGATTGTGTGATCCTCATTAGGTGGACACTGTGGCACTGGATTAACATTCAGATGATGTTTCCAGAGTGGTCCACAATACCAGTCTCAAGAGACGCTTTGAAGGAAAAGGCAGTAAAAAGAGGTTCTGTGGTCAAATGAGTTTGGGAAGTATGCATTGTGTATCCCTCTCTGAGAGAATCTCAGATGAAAACTGTCGGACTTTGCATGACCTCACATGACTCAGCATTTCCCAAACACATCTGATCATAGAACCCTGTGTATCTTCTAACATCTGTTACAAGTGTTCCATGAACCATACTTTCAGAAACACAGAATTCTGTTCTGTGACTCCATTGCTGGAGGGAAGGCCATTCGTAGGGATAGATCCCCTGGAAGAGTGGTGTTTTTCTTAGATCACACACCAGGGACAGAGAGGAGGAGCCTGGGAAACTGCTGAGGGGAGTGTCCTGGTTTTGGCCTTTACCAAGGAGGAAAGCTCCTGGCCAGAAGAGGCAGGCCGGACACAAGGTAGTGCAAATCCTGGGTGATCACTGCACAAGACTGGGGCCTTTGGGCTCTGCGACTGCATCTGTTTGGTAGGAATAGAAACACAAAGCCCTCTCCTTTTCAAACAACTTGTACTCTGACTTCGTTTCTAATTTGCTTTTTTCTCCTTTAGTATTTGACAAAAGCTTTTTGATAGTGCCAGCCTGTTACAGCTCTATGAAAGGATACTGAGGGGAGGCTTTTGTTTGCAATCCATCATCAAGCAGAATGCACGTTTACAAAAAATGCGCTGAAAATGTGACAACATGGTTTACTGGCATACAGGGAATGGACTGCGATCTGGGTGCACTGGGAAAGAAAGGGCCCTGAGGAGAACACTGAAGTGGGAACAAGATGCTCCTGGGGCCCAAGATGTTGGGAGCAGCCCCAGTAACTGAACTGAGAGCTGTCCAAGGAGAAGGAGGTTCTCACAGTGCAGTCGTGGTGACTTCCTTAACTTGGACACTCTTTCCAGGCCTAAGGTCTAGAGGTCGCGTTTTACTCTATTAAGGTGGACCGGCTGTCCTGGCACAATCGTGCAAAAGATACCACAGACCCTATTACAATAGCTTTCTACTAGATGAAATATGCCGATTTATAGAATTGAGTGGGTTAAAGCAAACAGCCCTTTGTAGTTCCACAAAGACTGTAAAATAGACTCCACAAGCCTTAGATCAGTGGCTCTAAAAGTGTGGTTCCTGAGCCAGCAGCATTTGCATCTCCTGGAACTTCTTATAAATGCAAATTCTCCATCTGCACCCCAGACCCACTGAATCAGACTCAGCAGGGTGAGGTCAGCAGCATACGTGGAGACATGGCCTCCCAGGGATTCTGTTGCAGGCTAACGTTTGAGAACCAGGGTCTAGACCAAATGAAACATGTAGGTATACAGAAGTGAATACAGACAAGCCTCCTCATGGCTGGGGGGTTGAAAGAGAAGGAAGGCTTCTGAAATAGATTGTAGACCAATGTTATCAGCATTGAATTCCTCTCTTTTCTAAGCCAACAGGGGAATGTTCGCTCTTTTCCATGAATGGACTTTTGATTCAAAAGCAAACCTTTAATGGCTAATATAGTCTGACGAAGTTTGCATCATAGTCTAGAAAACATCCAATAAAGTTTCAGTTTGGTGTGACTTTAATTTGAACACTGGCTAAATAATAATGATGAGGTCTATTGCATGTTATCTTCATAACCAAACAATACCACTGGTGGTGAAGATATTTCCATTCATTTTAAAGAGTGGAAACTGAGGGGTTGGTTTTCTCAACCTTATGTAACTGCCAAGGGAAGAAGTTAGTATAGAGATTTTGGCTCTTGATTTGCTATTCTAGAACTTGCTTGTCCCATTTCCCACAGTACTTTTCTAAGAGAAAATTATTTATAGGTTTCGACACAGATTCAAGGTCGCTGTAATGATTTATCTGTTTTTCCAAAGATGAGCTTAATTTAATGCCTCTTTATTTATTTATATATATTTACCTCTACCTCTAGGAAAAAACCTCTTCAATATTTTACGTTTTTATGAATATCATTTATGCTTTGCATGAATATCATATGGCCCCTCATTTTACGTACTCTTTAATTAGTGAAAGCAAGTAGATCCATTTTGACTTAGTTTAATGTGTCAAGATGATTATTTCATTGTAATTCACACTGATGGACTTGATTTGAAAAGTTGAGTGGTTGTTTGAGTGGAACGGTTTTGACATTTAACAGCTATAGTATACTTTCTTTATTCCAGAATAACATGTCAGAGATTAATTTTAAAACAAATTTCCCTAATAATAGGAATAATGAATGAATGATTGAATCATCTGCATTATACTTTGCTTTTTCACCTTTAAGAACAACTAGTGCAAAATTGAGGCTCTGCCACAATTGATGTCGTTTTCAAAAGATTTATTCTTTGTTCATTAAAGGCTCCATTCTTACACCAATACTTAAAAATGCTGTGAAGAATAATGAAAGGTAAAAAGTTCAAACGAAGTAATGCTGCATGCTACAATGTGGATGAACCTCAAAAGCAATATGCCAAGGGAAAGATCCCAGTCCTGTTGTGTGATTCCATTTTTGTGCGGTGCAGTAAAGGCCCATCTGCAGGGACAGAAAGTAGATGAGTGGTTGCCAGGGACTGGGTACAGAGAGAAAGAGTCACTGTAAGTCAGCTGCAAGTTTCTTCAGGGTGATGGAAATGTTCTAAAATAAGATTGTGGTGATGATTGCAAAACTCTGTAAATACTCTAACAATTATGGAACTGTACACTGAAAACAGGGGGATTTTATGCTATGTAAATTATATCTTAAATTATATCTTAATAAAGCTTCATGAAAATAGATGCGGGTTTATGAATAGCTTGAGCTAATTAAAACTGATTATCAAAATAAAAAAATTTAAAAGTTCACGTCGTTTACATATCAATACCACGTACAAGAGGAAGACAGGGCCTTCCTCTGAAATTTGCAACCCAACGAAAAAGACATATCAACAAGCAGAAGACAGTATCTGACACACCAAACACTTCATGTGTTAAGTGAATATGGAGTGAAGTGGAATTTTACTGTTTCCGAAACAGCATAGGTTAAATTCTTTATTAATCTTCTCTAGGACAAATGTCAGCCAGCCAATAGAATTTTCATTATTGCTTGGTCATCAACAGAGTCGTTGCGTATTTCAAGTCTAGACCCAAAGCTCGTCCAACATGTCTATTTGGAAACCCCATGCTGGAAGCAGGCTCATTGAACTTCAGTCAACACACAGTGCAGCACGGGGCACACAAAATACACTTGAGAACATTTTTGGTATAGATCAAGGTGATCTCAACCTCTGGTGAATTACACAGGCATGTTCCGAAGCTGTAGTAAGATCGGGTAGCACCCAATATGTGCTCTAGTATAGTAACATTTCATGACAGCATGAGGAAAGAAATGACTCATTCTGAGGGCGAAAGGAGAAACAAGCACAGAGGAAGTGATATGTGAATGGGGCCTTCATGGAAGAGGTGAACAAAAGAGGATTGGTAAAGGAGTTTCCAAAAACTGGATTGACTTCATGTCGGTACCCTGAGAACCACATCTAGAAATGGTGAATTGAAGTTCCTCATTTTATTTCAAATGTCAAAATAATCTAGAAAGATACATAGTAGGTATCAAGATTAACCGAAGGTACATTCCAATCTTAACTGTTTTGTCATTTAATAGGATTGGATTGTGGAAAGAAAGGAAGGTCCATTTAAAACAGAAATGAATAAAGAGGCAGCAGCATCTATGTGCTATCCTCGGAGGTCTTCAGACTGCAGAGAATCTGCTTTCTATCCCTACTGCAAAAAAAGGTGTCCCCCAGGGAGGTATCATACTGTCGTTCCAGCCTTAAAAATCTCATAGGTGACAGAGAAACCAATAACTTTGACTTCGAGACATTCATCCTTAGGCTGTTGAATGGATGCTTAATAGGTGGGCTTCTAGAAAATACACTTTCTTCCAACCCTGTGAGATAATGAGTGAGCTCCTCAATAAAGATAGAAAACTCCTCACATGAACATGTAGGCCGTTTGGAAGTTTGCAAACCATTTCTGAATCACACACTTAAATTTTTATAGGAACAAACATCATGGGGTACAACAATTTTTTTTAGCATTTTTGCCAAAAATACATAATCTGATTCTCATCATGAGGAAACATCAGTCACACCCAAACTGAGGGACGCTCTACAAAATCACAGGCCTGCATTCTTCAAACATGTCAATGTCATGAAAAAGAGAAAGGTCGTGACACCCCATTACAGATTAAAGCAGATGAGAGAGATGCAAAAGCTACATGAAATACATAATCCTGGCCTGGGTCCTGGACCAGAAACAGAACTGACATGAAGAACACGTAGTGGTGGCCTGGACCGGCCCTGTCCAGGAGGGATGACACCCATGAAAGCCTCCAGGGACAATTCTTTCTCAGCCTCTACCTCCCCTCACGGAGACAGTTTGTGAAATTTTCATAAAGTCTGTAGATGAGATAATAGTAGGCATCAATGTTAAACTTACTGATATTGAGAACTGTACCATGGTTTTGTAGGAGAATTTCTTTGACTTTAGGGGACACTCCAAAGCATTTAGAGTTCAAGGGGTATGATGTCTGTGACGGACTCTTACATGATTCTGAAAAAGAATATATATACAAACAGATGCAGACGTACATTCACACACACACTGTGATAAGGCAAATGTGGCAAAGTGTTAATAACTGGTGATTCCAGATGAAGGGCACGTGGGAGTTCTCTGTAGTATTCCAACTTTTCAGTAAAGCAGAGAGTACTTTAAAATCACATATAAAATGGAATTTATAGGTTTGCCTTAGCAGATCTTCCAAGAAAACACACAGCTCAAACTTGAAGATGGTCCTTTTCTACCAATTTCGTTTTTCCAGTTCAACTCTTAAAAGCAGGAACCAGCTAAAAAGGTAAGCAGATTTGCAATAAAACAACAAACAAAATCAAACCCCCTCCATTCATCTAGGAAAAATGTGTCAGATTGATTTAGTGTTATATATATATTTTTCCTTTTTAGTGGTGATCACCAGGCTTATATTCTTGATATTCCAAAATTTCTTCTTCTTCTTCTTCTTTCTTCTCCTTCTCCTTCTCCTTCTCCTTCTTCTTCTTCTTCTTCTTCTTCTTCTCTTCTTCTCCTCCTCCTTCTCCTCCTCCTACTCCTCCTCCTTCTTCTTCTTCTTTATCATAGAATGAACATTTGTTTCCATTGTTTGGGGAAGAAATAAGACTCAAACATAGAATGATCACTTCAAAGGAAAGTTAAGAATGAACATATCATGTGTAACCAGGAAGGGATAATAAGAAAGCACTATTCCCCGGGTTCAGCCATAAATATTAAATGGGATGAGCCCATTGCAGATACCTGTTTCCCTGGAAACCATTCAGTTGAAACTCCTGCAAAAATTAACATGTATTTTTTTCCCTTAAAGGGCAGGAGCTTCTTTTACTTACACATTTTTGACCTTTAGTTTTATATCTTAGGCTGATTATAAGAAGTTCTTTCCAGGTCTAGGCAAACAAAGAGCAAAATAAGTATCTTTTCATTAGGTCTGAGGCTGGGCTTTATGACAGTATGGCTTGTATAAACTGCACGTTATGGGGTAACTATGGATATTTGGTGTAAAATTTGCTACTCACCAAATACTGCCATCTAGACTAGTAGACCATCAACCCACACACAGTATTCAAACTCAAATGCCAAGTAACTTCACAGTATAGACAATTGAATTAAATAGTCATATTTGCAAGACAGTTCTATGTTTTAAGAGGCAGTGAAGTTTAACAGAGTCAAGTCCCTTGGATAAGTCAATACTGGCAAATATCATGGGGATAGAGGTTTGCCAAAGATAATAATTCTGTATCAGATCAATGCCATGGAGGACGGCTTTGGACCATGGAGGATTTTTGACTCTCATTTCCAAAGCTCAGTTGATTTTAGGTTCCTGGTATTTTTGCAGTGTGGATAGAGAAGGTGGATCATATTTATTTCAGTTCAAGTCAAGGTGGCTGAATTGGTCCAGAACCTGAAAAACTGATCTCTATATATAGCTCATATTAACATCAGCCACATAGTAAACTACAGAGAGAAACCATCTCTGTGTCAATATAGGTCATACATACAAGTGAAATGGCTTCCCAGTGTACTTGCCTATTTTGTCTGCAATGTTACTATTTTTTTAAAAAAATTTTATTTATTTATTTGTCAGAGAGAGAGAGAGAGAGCACACAAGCAGGGGAGTGGCAGGCAGAGGGAGAAGAAGGTTCCCCGCTGAGCAAGGAGCCCGAGGCAGAACTCGATCCCAGGACCCCGGGATCAGGACCTGAGCCGAAGACAGATGCCCAACCGACTGAGCCACCCAGGTGTCCCTGCAATGTCACTATTGTGCAGGTTACCCTTGGTGTGGAGTCTCTACATCTCCAGGGGTACTCAGACCCAAAGCATCTGCCCTGGAGAGGTAAGGATATACTGGTCACCAGCACTTTCAGAGGAATAGGCTTATTGTGGAGCATGCATATGTTTCCCGAAGCTGACAGGGGTTCTAGAAGCCCAGACTTACTGGGGAATTGAGAATGGGCATCTTCATAGCCCAAAGTCTTCTGTTCCTGGGGGAAGCTGTCCACCAAGAGAAGTAAGACCACTGAACAGGACGGTGAAAAGCAACTGATTGCCCAATTAATCCTGGTGCTGCTATGTTTTTCTGATAATCACAGTTCAGGTTTTCGGGGTTAGTACTAATTTACTCTATTTTGTCCTGTTTTCCCCACCAGGGGAAATATGGTTATTGTATTAGAGAGGTACTTTAAAATGGAATTGTAGATTAATGTCCTTGGTTTCATTATGGGCAATTAATCTCTGAATACATTCTTTGCTGGAGAGAATTAGTGATTTATCCAAGGTTAAATACCTGGTAAATGTCAGACCTAAGAGCCAAACCATGGTCTTCTGTTCTCAGTATTCCGTGTGCCTACCAAATGCTAGGGAACATTCCTAAGATTTAATGCGGCAGGCCAGCTATGTAATTTGAGGATTCTTGAAATACTTCCCCCCCAGCTTTACTGAGGTATAACTGACAAATAAAATTGTAAGATACTTAAAGTGTATATTGCGGTGATTTGATGTACACATACATTGTGACAGGATTTCTCCCATCTGGGTAATTAACACATCCATCACCTCAGATATTATGTATATATAAAATTGCATATAAATGTATATAATATTTTATATATAAATATATACAATATATACATACATATGTATATATCTTTGGTGAGAACATTTAAATTCTCTTTTAGCAGATTTTGTTCTACATTATAGTATTATCAATCTTGGAATATTTTGATGGCCCCAGATCAACATGCCACTCACACATGTCCAAATCTGACTGGAACATCTATGTTCAGTGTCTTTCTTGGCAAGGTGACTTTTGTCTTTAGAGCACTGCGTCACAGACTTCACTGTGGGTAAACGCCGCTCCTACTGCCCAGTGCACAACCTGACAAGCACGCACAGTGGCCCGTGGCAGTCCTGCTCCTTATTCCCTCTCTCTCTCTCTCTCTCTCCATCCACTCTCTGCTATCCCCACCCCTTCACGGCTCCTTCCATTCCATTCCTTCCACTGGCATTACTGGACCCTGTCAAGGGAGAAAGGAATTTGACCCAATTCATCCACTTGGAGACGCTAGCGACTTGATAAGATATCCAGCCAGGAGGTTTGCATTTGGAAAGACCACAGAGAACTCAGGACAACCTGTGGAAAATGTCTGGGGAAGGGAAAGGCTTTGAACTCCAATGGTCACCTATGATGTTTTTGTAAGGCAGACTCTCCCAACAGTACTTTTTCAACTTCAGTGCCAGATCCTACAAGTTAACCAGCCACACTGTACCCTATTTGTCTGATGCTACCTGTTGGAAGCATCAGGGATTTGACTACTGTATCTGTTCCCCCTGTGTCCGTAATATTCCCAGCTTTAGAAATTCCAATCCTGTCAGTATCTCCTTAGTGGTCATTCTCACATGGGCCGTCTACATGCCTAACATCCAATCTGCTTCTCATCTTTCTAAGCTTCATTTTAAAAATAATACACATAGAATCCCACAATTCTGTGAGAGAGGATTCCCATTTTACAGATGAGGAAACCGAGGCCAGACAGGCTAAGAGACTTGCTCGAGGCTCAGTGGCTGGTAGGAGCAGTGCCAGAATTTGACCTTGGACTTTATGACGAGGCATTCGCTGAAGCCCATGGCTCCTCTCATGCCAGGTCTCACTGCCCTGTACCTTCCTCTGAGCGTAGACCCATATTGTCTCTGTGGCTTAGATTCCTTCCTTGGGGTGCCTGGGATTTCCTTGCCTCTCTGTGTCATGAGAAAGTATAATGATCAAGAGCTCTAGTGTTGGAGCCAGAGTTCAAAGTCCAGTTCAGCTCCTTCATGCTTTTCTGGGTTTCTTATTTAAAATTTTCATTATCGACAGGGTTTGAAAAATATCTTGGTTGTTGCTGTGGATTCTTCTTTCCACTGTTTATGTCCCTACTATAGCTATGTATGTGATGTTTTGTTTTGCTTCTCTTCATTTATGTGTATATGGTTGTCAATGTATTTCAAGGTCAGAAAGGGCGACAAACACTGGAGAAGGGGAGCCCGAGGCTAAGAGAATGTTTCTATTCTAAGAACAGTTATCATGCCGTCTCTACTAAGTGCCAGGCACTATGCTGGGTGCTTTACACGCATGACCTGTCATCTTTACAACAAATCTGAAAGCCAGATATTATGACCCCATTTAAAATGAAGGGGACTGAAGGGCAGAGAGGTTAAAAACACATGCCCTGAGTTGGTATATTTAAGAGCAAGGAGTCCACTTAAGTCTGTCTGACTATAAAGCATATGAGCTTAACTTTGAAAGAAAACCGCACAAGGTATTCATTAATGCATTCTTATTGTACAAAAATCTTGCACACAGTTGTATATGGAGTTAATATTAGCATTCTCCTTTGCTCTACTCTTACCTTTTTAAGCTACCTGGTGTTACAGGTTGATGTGTATCCAGGGTCTTTTGTCTATGCACATTTGTGCACACACAGTGATACAGATTTTTAAAACTATAAATGGGAGGGGTGCCTGGGTGGCTCAGTCAGGATCCCCTGCATCATCGGGCTTCCTGCCCCAACTTGTGTGCTCTCTCTCTCTCTCTTAAATAGATAGATAGATAGATAGATAGATAGATAGATAGATAGATAGAAATATATTTATAAAAAAACCTGTAAATGGGATCCCGCTATACTTAATGCATGGTGACTTCTCTATTTGGTATTCCTAAAAGCACCTCCTTTTTAAAGAACCTGTTTATTTTTCTAGTGGATACTTTAGATATGCCATAGTGTATTTGAACATTCCCCTATGGATGGGCATTTGGAGTGTTATTAATTTTTCAGGAACAAAAACAAAGGTGCAAACAAAATAGGTGAACACAGCTCTTCATCCCTGTGAGTATTTCCATGGAACAGAGTATTGTAAGAGGGACAGCTGGGTCAGAGCATATCTGCATTTTATGTTGTGATAGAAACTGCCAGATAGAAGCCTGTGGTCCATCCCCTGCTCCATGCTGT